TATTTTAAATGTATGTTGCAAGTATTTTATCTGGATATTGCTTATGTTACTGTGGCTATACACATATGTTGTAACCGTATGTTTCAGATGTTTCACCTATTTCAGACATATGTTGCAGCAAGTGCTTCATGTTCCAAGTGCTTTCATTAGCAGGTGCAATATGTTTCATGTGTTTTAGATGTATGTTTTATATGTTTTATCTAAATGTTGCATGTGTTCATCTGGATGTTACAAAAGTAGATCTGATGTTGCAAATATAGATCTGATCCCCACCTGCATGCATGTCCACGGGCGCATAGCATAGAAGCGAAGTGAGGCGTGTAGCATGCGGGGCACAGGCGTGGGTGGTCCCCACCTGCATGCACGGGGCGTGCAGCAGCAGGCACGGGCTTGCGTGTGTATGTGCAGAACCATGTGGGAGCGGGCGGGCAGGCTCACAGTTGCTGCCGCATGCAGGACAAGCGAGGCAGGCGGCGACAAGTGCAACATGCGGTCAGACTCATCAGGCATGCGAGGTGGGCACAACAGATGGGGTAGGCGCGGGCGCCCGAATGGGGGCTAGCGTCCGGATGTCCGGGCGCTAGCCACGCCCTAGAGTTAAAGGATAGGTAGATTACTGATAGTACACATTACGACCCAAGGAAAATGCCACTGTCGCCGTTGCTCCTAGATCCTCGCCATCGCCTCATCTTTGCCTAGGGCCCCACTCATTCTTCCTCTCTGGTGTGTCTTCCGGGAATAGGAAAGAAAGGGGACCTATCTCTCTTTTTCATAGTTTTTATATCCATTTGTTGAGGTTTAGCCCAAATAAATTTATCGGCGAAATCAGATGATTTTTGGTCGGAGTGTTGTTACCTACGATGATTTCGGTGATTGTCATGATGAGGTCATCGTTGTAGGTGTTGATTTATCGATATGCGACCAATTTGTGGCCATTATCTGTAAGGGGAGGAGTGTGCTACTGGGCATTCCCAACGAGGACAGTTACTTCGGATCATCAATCTTGTCGTCGATGGTTGCACAGAGGAAATCAAGAATCAGAGGTAATGAATCTGATCCTACATACTGTATCTAACGATGCAACTGTCGATATTCTTTCATTGATTTAGATACATTTTGGACTGATTTCGAACGTTTGATTTTGCGACATGTCCAATGTTTTGGGGTTGATCATTGGATCCAGCATAAGGACTGCACTCTGGCTTCGGTGTTCAACAAGTTTGTGTTCATCTAGAGCATCAGTTGCATCGAAAAAAGCCACTAGAGAAGAAGATGGTGGAAGATAAACTAATATATTATTTATTTTAGATTTTTTAATATGTAACTAGCAAATATGCCCATGCGCTGCAACGGGAGAAAAAAGTATTAAGTATTTATGAAAAACGACGATGAGAATTGTACAAATCTATTTATTTACCATTTTTATAAACTTTAAAAGCTATAATTTACTTTATAATGATTGTAACATCCATCATATATATATATAAGCTAATGTTGGCAATTGTGTGATAATACACTATTAAGTTTGCATCAAATTTAAAATACAAATGTTGATAGATTTGTTTTCTTCCATTACAAAACACATAGATATTTTCATAGTATCTATGCATTGATATATTTAAATATCGAGTTGCGTGACTTTGTTTGTGGACCTATAATCAAATCACGGGTCTATCCGTGGATCATTGGGGATTACACAGGAACATATGCAAATTTTAGAGATAAATTTATTTAGACTGGACCAACAACAATTTGGTCAAAATGTTAATTCACGGTTTGATTGGTTAGACCAAAAGCTAGGTTAGAATAAGATAGAATTTGTTCCTAATCAACGAAACTTTTTTAACATCTTAGTGGTGTAAATCTTTCCTTTTCTTAAGAAAGAATGAGATCACCAGTTCAAAGATCTATAATATTATATTTAGGCCCCGTTTGGCACGGTTCCACTTCACCCATGAAGTCCTTTTTGGGGCTTCGGCTTTATGAACAGCTCTATGGGTGGAGTTGTAGCCGTTTTGATAAATCATTTGGCAAAACAGCTTCACATATAGTTTTTCTTAAAATATACTCTCAGAGAACGCCATGTAGAATGAGGTGAAGCCGAGAGAAGCCACTATTTTTGGCTCCTTCCCACCCCAAAGCTCTGTGAGAACATGTTTTTAGGGGCTTCATCGGTGGAGCCGTTTTATTTTACCCTGTTTGACAGAAAACGGCTCCAAACGACTCCTGAAGCCGCTAGAGAAGCCCTGCCAAACGGGACCTTATTATTTAAGGAAAAATAGAAGAAGTTGGATCGAAAGGGTAGTAGAAAATAGGATAAAAACGGAACATGAAAAAGAGAAAACATGGCATGGAGAAAATAAAAAAGACGCAAAAAATAGGAATAAAAAAAAAAAAAAACAGAAACAGTACGTGAAAAAACAGAGGAAAAAAAGAAACCTGGACAGACACGATACCAGCACAGGAAACGAAATCGGAAAAAAAAAATGGAACGGGTGTTCTTTTCAAATCCCGGAAAAATAAAAATTAGAAAAAAAGGAATGAATAAAATTAGAAACAAAACGGAACGAACGGAAAAAACTTGAACAGGTGTTCTGTTGGGATCCGGCAAAAATAAAAATTGAAAAAACGGAACAAACCGGTGTTACGTTCGGATCCGGAAAAAAAATTAGAAAAACCAAAACAAGCGGATCTGGGAAAAATAAAAATGATCCAGGAAAAATAAAAATTCAGATACGGCAAAAAAATAAAAATAAATTGAAAAACACGGAACAAACCGGTGTTCTGTTCGGATCTGGAAAAAAAATTAGAAAAAAAACAGAACAGGTGTTCTGTATTTTGATCTAGGAAAAATAAAAATTTGGATTAGGAAAAATAAAATTTGAAAAAAAAACTGAACGAACGGGTTTTCTTTTCGGATCTTGAAAAATAAAAACTGAAAAAACAGAACGAGTGTTCTGTGTTTGGGAAAAATAAAAATTGAAAAAAAACACAACAGTTGTTCCGTATACAGATTTGGGAAAAATAAAATTCAAACTTGGTGGACAAAGAAAACCAGAAAAAGTCCAAAACTTTTATATATATTTTTTCTAATTTGGGTTAGGATTCCTATTCTAATTTTTTCTGCCTGCTTGCGTGTGTGCGTGTGTGCGGTGTGTGTGGGCCGGCTGGGTTAAATCCCTCTTTCTTTGAAGTGCCCCGATCCGCACTTTCGGCAAACTATTTTTTATTTTTTATTTCTCATCGAGTGTCACCTAGCCCTTTCGGCACTTTTTCAAAAATTTTTTTGCTCTATTTTTATAAATTTTTTGTTTTTATAAATTCTTTGTCGAGTGCCACCCAGCCTGACACTCGGTAAATAGGGGTTTTTTAAATTTTTTTTAAAATTCTTTATCGAGTGCCATACGTCCTGACACTCGGTAAAGAGGCTCCTTTGCCGAGCGCCAAACGCAGACACTCGGCAAACCATTTTTATTTTTTTTCTTCCTGTCCCCAAACTTTTTCTATAGTCTTCATACAATACCTGGTACTCCATGTTCCAATGTGGCACATTTATCGGACTTTTTCTATATTTCTTTAATTTATTTCATTTAATTGAATTTTTTGGATAATTTAAATTATAATTGCTAGTCATTTGAATAATGAAAAAAATGAATGGGAAAATGATATTCATGTTATTTAGTATAATGTGAGGCCGTATTTAGGAACATACCACCAATTTCGAACATCTTGTTCACGAAACATGACCACGAACTTGCGGTCGAGTTGTTTTTAAATTCTATAAAAAGCAAACGAAGTCCGAAAATCATAAAACTTGTCAAGATGTCATGATATCATATGTGGAGTCTGTGATAAAAATTTGAGAAGGTTTTGCGCAAGTTGTCACGTACGATGCTTGCAAACTGAAGAATCTCCGTAGAAGTTTCATGATTTCGTGAAGAGGCCAACGAGGTGGTAAGCATCGTACGTGATAAACTTGTGCGAAACCTCCTCAATTTTTTATCACAGCCTCCACATATGATATCATGACATCTCGACAAGTTTCAAGATTTTCGGTCTTCGTTTGCTTTTTATAGAATTTAAAAACAACTCGACCGCAAGTTCGTAGTTATATTTCGTGAACAAGATGTTCGAAATTGGTGGTCTGTTTCTGGATACGGCCTCACATTATACTAAATAACATGAATATCATTTTTCCATTTATTTTTTTCATTATTCGAATGACTAGCGATTATAATTTGAATTATCTAAGAAAATTCAATTAAATGAAATAAATTAAAGAAATATAGAAATAGTCCGAGAAATGTGTCACATTGGAACATGGAGTACCAGGTATTGTACGAGGACTGCAGAAAAAGTTTGGAGGTCAAAAGTGAAAAAAATATGGTTTACCGAGTGTCAAAAAATAACATTCGGCAAATCACCACTTTGCTGAGTATTAGGAGAAGACACTCGGCAAAGGGTTAACGGCGGCTATCGGCCGTTAACGGCGGCGGCCCTTTGCCGAGTGTTCTGGTTTGCCGAGTGCCCGACACTCGACAAACCTAGGCTTTGCCGAGTGTTATTGTTTGCCGAGTGTTCGGCACTTGGCAAACCACCTCTTTGCCGAGTGCCAGTTGTTTGGCGAGTGCTTTCTCTCTGGCACTCGGTAAATAGCCTTTTTGCCGAGCGCCCGATAAAAAACACTCGGCAAAGTCCAGAGCACTCGGCAAAGAAGTCATCTCCGATAGTGGAAGGGGGAGTGAAAAGAGTGGTCTCAACGCCCAGCGCTTTATATGCATCTTGTGAACCTATCTCGGCGAGCTGTGGACGTCGGTTGGTGCGTGACGGAGGAGTCGAAGGCCTTCTTCCTCTGTGCTTTGCCGACTCGTTTCCGGGCAGCAAATCACCGATCCATGAAGGTGGCCGGCAACGGAGACCACGGTGCGGAGTCGGCTTGGAAGGACTGTTGTGCTCCGTCTCCGTGTGGACTGTTAAGCATTGTGGCGACATATATATACTTAGCGAGAATAGCGGCGATGCGTGGCTCCGTGTAGTGGCCATTGCAAACCACGATGGCGTCGTAGAACTTCTCCTTGCCGACGCTGCTCCCCTTCTCTCCAAGCTTCCTAGACGTCACCGCCCACCTCCCGTCGCTCCACCTGCGCACCCTGACCACCTCCGTCTGGAAGCGGACGAGCCGGAGCAGATCGAACTGCCGCGCGAACGCCTCCAGGTACCGAAGGGCCTCCTCGTGCCCGGGGAACCTGCTGAGAGCCCACAGCGCCATTGGTGGCAGAACACGAGAACAACCATCCCAAAGCACTTCAGGCGCAGCTTCGACTCGCTAGTGCTGCTCGTCTCCTGGATGGTCTGAAATGAGCGTAATCGGAGAACTTTTGACACAATTACGACGACGCCGTCTCAGCTGGTCGCTCTCATTCTGGAGGAGGCAGACGCTTGGATCACCGTGGGCTTTTGCTGCCTTGCGTCGCTGGTCGCTTGAGCTACCTAGTGGCCGTGCTCTTTCTTTCTCTAGTCGCTCAATTAGTTTCCTCAGTTATTACACCTTCTTAGCGTCACTGTTGAAGCCGGTGATTCTTGTAAGTGTTCCTCTAGTCCGCTAACTATGGCATCTCGCTGTGGCTAGCACCGGCTGTACTTTGTTCCTGTTTTTTCATTAATGAGGCACGTGCTAATGCATGCTTTCGGAAAAAAAAAAGAGCACGCGGCGCCAGCGGCGAAGGGGAAGTCGAGGAATCCCATGGCCTCGCGTGGCAAGTTGGTGCGGAGCGATGCGTAGAGGCTGGAGTAGTGCGTCACCGTGGCGCCGACCGCGCGTGGGTCGAAGGACATGGCGGGGGGCATGTAGAGCCAGGTGCCTCCAACGGCGACGGCACGCTCGAAGACGACGGGCGTGTGGCCCTCGCGGCGTAGCTCGTGGGAGGCCACCAGCCCCGCCGCGCCCGCCCCGACGATGGCGAGTCGGAGGGGAGGCGACGGCATGGGGAGCAGGGAGTGGGCATTGAGAATTAGAACGACTGGCCTCCTTGCCTGGAGCGGAAATCAATCCGGCGGGTATATCTCTGCCGGGGCGGTGGTCTGAGCCTCTGAGGGTGGTCCGACAAAGGGTTGGTGATGAAGTAGACATATAGTCACATAGTAGTAGGGTTGTCGCATGTCGATCTCCTGCTTGAGTCTTTTGATAACGGGACCCCAGTCCTATCTATCCCTTCCTGGGCATGCGAGACGCCGACGCCGATGCTGTGGACGAGACTGTGGAAGGTGTACGTGCCTGGAGGCCGTGCAGGAAGCGGACATGGTGCCAGACTGCGCGACATACTCACATGGGTCATGGCCTCATGGGTGGTAGACTGGTAGGCGCGCAGGATGGTGGTTGAAGGCGGAGGACGTGTTCTATGCGACAGTGAGCTAGTGAAGTACCGGACCTCGGAGCAGTGCACGGCCTCCACCCTCACGGACGTTGGCAAGGCGCGCGCGGCGAGGCAGGGGGGGTCGGCCTGTCTAAGAAATTCCATAAGCAGGGGGCTCTTAGCGTCCGACTATTGCACCGTGCCTATCAGTTTCCACCCTCCAGTACACGTTCATGCAGCACAAGCAGCAACGTCTAAATTGCTAATATCAGTGTTTGAAGAATGTTTTTGAAACTTTAAAAAACGCAAATCGTGGACCTCCGCAGCGAATAGACCCAACAACACCTTAACGTCTCTTCCATCTTTGAAAATTTCTCCACTCGCACTCGCATCGGTGTCGCGACGTCACCGCGCATAGGCCCGCCTCACTCTGCCCCGCCGCGCCCCCTTCCCCACCGCACACCCATCCCCCGCCACACCGTGTCCTTCCTCCCACCGCGCTCCATCTCCCATAAGCGGATGACACTGGACGACTGCGGCTGAGCAGCGGCGGCGCTAGAGAAGCCACGCAGATAGGCGCAAGCCCGGGCAGCGAGCAGGCGCGGGGGAATCGCAAGAGGAGCGGCGGACCGACATCCGGTAGTGGAGGTGCACACAGGCCGATGTCCCCCTGACCCGAGGTTGCTGGCTACCACAGTTTCTCACCAGGTAGGTCGTGGCCGCCGGTAACGTCGTGTTTTAAGTTTTTCAGGCGTTCTAGACTTATGTTTCAAGTGTTTGATCTGGATGTTGCATATGTTGCAATGACAATATACACATGTTGCAAGCGTATGTTTTCAAATGTTTTAGGTGTTTCAAATAGATGCTTCAAGTGTTTTATCTGGATGTTGCAAAAATAGATCTGGGTGTTGCATATACATGCATGTTGCAAGAGTATGTTTTAACTGTTTCAGATGTTTCATACGTATATTGCAAGTGTTTTATCTGGATGTTGCATATGTTTTGCAATGGCTATCAAGTCTTTTGCAAGTGTTTCAGACGTATGTTGCATGTGTTTCAACTGTTTCGGACGTATGTTGAAAGTATTTCATCTAGATGTTGCAAAAGTTGATCTAGTGTTGCACATGTTGCAACGGAACTAATCTGCTGCAGCTGCTGAGGCATCGTGCATGCGCGTGGGAAGCTGAAGGGGATGGAGGCAGGGGTGTGGGGTCCCGGTGCGTGATGCGGAGGGGGATAGAGGCGGGGCGCGTGCCCCACGTGCATGTGGGCGCGGGAAGCAGAGGGGGCATGGCCGTCCGAATTGGGAGGCACAAAGGTTACTGCATGCACGCGGACGCGCGTGAAATGGAGAAGTAGGAGTCGGCGTTAAGACGCGGGTATCCGTCCGGACGGTAGGCATGCCGTTTGAAAAACTATTATTTACGAACTAAACGTTCAACAGGTAGCCTGTTCGGTTGGCTAGTTCGTATCGTTGCCGGTTCGTGAAGAAGTACTGCTGGCTGGTTTGTGTGAAGAGAAAAATACTGTTTTAGCTAGAAAATTACGATCGTTTACAATAAGCCACAGCCCAAACGAGGCTCAGGGTCGGTGGTCTGCCTCCGCAGTTCCATAAGCAAGGCGGGCCGGGGCGGTGGTCTGCCTGCGCAGTTCCATAACCAGTTTAATATGGGCTCTTAGAGGAGGTACAATAATATGTCAGAGCTTGTTTCATAACTAGGCCAAATCTGTAAATATTTATATGGATGAAATAGAAACCGGTAAAAAGTAAATGTTGCTTGTCGCATGGTAGAGCTCCACGCGCTAGCACACTTCCCCATGATGTGTGGTCCTGCCTTGACGTGTTTGGTTTCGCTATTAATTTTTAGTCCCTATCATACTAATTTAGAGTATTAAATTTAAACTAATTATAAAATTAAATGCCTAGATTGAGACTAATATGCGAGACGAATCTATTAAGCTTTATTAGTTTATGATTTGACAATATGATGCTACCGTAACATGTGCTAATGATGGATTAATTAGGCTTAATAAATTCGTCTCGTGGACTACTGACGACTTCTGTAATTTATTTTATTATTACTATCCTTAGTGCAGATTCAAAAGATAAAAAGACATGAGAGAAAGTGAATGGGTCTCGTACAGAAACAAAAAAAGTGTATTTAAACAAAGAGAAGAGACTAGATTATTGTATACCTTTATTAGTTGTGCTAATCTATTGTTGACTTAGCTTGGCTTATAGTCAAGCTTATTAACTTGCTCTTAGCGTCTGGCTTGGTTAGGTTGACCTCTTTGCACTGTGCCGATCAGTTTCCATCCTCCCAGCACAGGTTGCAGGTGGGTCTCAATTTTCTCATATCAACATTTGAAGGATGTTTTTAAAACTTTAAAAAATCATAATTTACAGACTAAACATCCAATAAAAATTATGATGGCAACATTGTGTTTCTTACAAGATCCTTCAAAACAGGACCACACATGGATACATTTAGATACAACTTTGTTAAGATACATTTACCTCATTAAGATATAATATTCTCTTTTATAGAGTAGACCCAATGTTCTAGGTTCTGTAAAAAAATATTTGGCCTTCACAATAAAAATGTTCTAGGTTTGGAAGAACAATATTCCAGATTTAGGAGAATAAAATATTATATTTATGAGAATGATATTATAATATCCCTAAAGTTATGGGAAAATAATTACAAATAAAATAAAATAAAACTTAAATAGAAAAATAATAAAAGACAAAAATAACACATAAGAGAAAAACATAAATAATACAAAGGAAAAAAGGCACACAATAGATGACAATAAAAAAGGCATCACACAAATACTGCTTGAACAATCTAAAATATACCAGAGAGCATCTCACAAAGTATTATGTGAATACTCAAAGATACAAAAATAACATAATATAGTTCCAAAAAAGTAACATAATATAAAACATAAAAATATAGAACAAAGCATAAGGGACAAATTTTTTTAGAAAAGCCACATCAGGGAGTATGTTAGCTGAGTGGAGAGTAGTCCACATCAGGGAGTATGTTAAAAAAAGTAACATATTTGGCATTAAGAACGGGACCACCTAGAGTTCTATGGCGCCGGTATGTATCGAGCAAATTATTGCTCGGGATTGCGATAACTCTTCTGAGCAATAAATAAGCCCCTTTTCCTTGCAAAAAAAAATGGAAAAAAATTGGTGGATATAGTTTGCATGGAGCTTCAGTGCATACAGCCCCTAATCTGCTGCCACGTGTACAAACAAAATAATCAGACGCTCGTGGTCTTCCTCCGTCCACCCGCACCGATCCGTGATTGACTTGGCCCATGTAGGCCCACGAAAGGCAGTCCGATGCGTGTCGTTGGATCAAGATGTAATGGGGCATTCATCCACGCCACGCATGCACTGAAGCTCCCTGCATACTATACATAAAAAAAATCAAAAAAAAATGTGCACCGGGTTGACTAGTATTTATCTGAAGTCATGCCTGACGATTGGACCCATGCAAGTCCGAAGCACAGGAACAAATGAACAACAAAGAACCAAATAAGCACCACTAAATTATAGAGTGTGATTTATAAAATTTTAGGAAATATTTTCTCGTTTTGAGTTTGTATGAAGGAGATAGACCAGATAAAAGTTTTAATTATAGATCAAAAGGAGATTGCATTGAACTTAAATTTTCATTGCATTTTTTTTTGTCGTGTGGTAAACTACAGAATTGTGTAAAGTATAATCAACTTTCTTTCGTAGTTCGATGGTTGGTATTGCCTCTTATGAGTCCTAAAATAAAATTGGTCACTGTTCGATCCTGCAATAGACTAGTATTTTGATTCATTTTTGCCAGCAGGGAAGAAATTGGGCCATAGTCCAAAACTTTGATGTAGGCAGGCCCGGATTGAGGTCTTCTATTAGTAAAGGATAATGGGCCTCCGGGCCAAATTCGCATAGGACGATAGGAGGCTTTCAACGAGCTAAGACCGCCGCCACCCCAAAAAAAAAAGAGCAGGCCGGACTGAAACTTACGAGGGGATGGAGAAATAAAAAGAAAAGGCTTCTGATTTTTATAAACACTCAAATGAATTTGAATTGAAACGAATTTGAATGCAAAGTTATTATAATTCTAAGTAAGAAGCGACGCAACGGGATGGATGCAAGAAATAATTGAAAATGAGTTTTTAGTATTCAAGAGATAATTAACTCTTGAAATAGAAAATAAGGGATAGAAAAGAAAAAAACACTTGTAGTATGTACTCTCTTTGTCGTATAATATAGTGCATTCTAGAAATTTTAGGATAAATTAAAAGAGCACACAAAATACGCATGTGTCCTTACTTTATTTTCTAATTAGATACGGTCAACAACATGATTAATGATGATTAGTTGGTAAATAGTAAGTATTTAATGCAAAATTATTTTTTGTCCCTATAATCCATATTTCAGTACAAAACGGAGGGAGTAAGTAGCTTGAAACCTTTCTAAAACTGATATAATTACTAGCATAAACCTGGAAGACATTTTTTCTCCCTATTTTTACCAAATAAATAATAACATATGGGACCCACTATGGCATGTGGACACTTGCAGACGCCTTCAACATTTTTCTAAAAAAAACATCGGATAAAACG